CCCCATATAGTTGGGATAAGGCATGGATGGTGATCATGATGAATTAATATATTATAAAATTTATGATCCAATCAGGCCTTTGGGATTGGGACAGGGCTTTGAGCTTTATATAGGCCTAGGCTTGGGCTCGAGCCTTGTAATTTTTTATTTATAAAGAGGTAACGCTTGGTCCAAACCCAACCCGGTCCATGAATAGGTATATTGAGCTATAGAGGCGTTTGGGCTTTCAATAATGATCTCTTGGTGAGATGGCATGGTTGTTCATGAGAAAGCCAAACACTTTGTAGGGAAGTTTGTTGGGAGGCTAAGGTGGGCTACAAGGTAATTCCCATTTAATTAGGGGTGATCATTTCATCCTGGCCCGCACAAGCCCGGCTCAGAAATTTCAGGATTGGGCCTAGGTTTTGTGTTCAGGCCCAGCCTGAGCCCAGCTTGGCCCGCATATATTTAAACTTACACATTTTGTGTATAATGTATACATATGTGTACATGTTATTTTACATTATATTATATATTTTATATATAAATATTATAACATGACATGTATAATTTATATTATATGTAGTATTTACATTATATAATATATAAAATAAAAGTTTATATGCATATTCTATCATTTAATATAAAATATTATAGATATGTAATGTTTTATATATGAAAGACATTGGCCCAGAATTAAGCCCGGCTTGGCCCGAGCCCGTGTAGACCTGGGCCAAGGCTTATGTTTCAAGCCTGGAATCTCGAGCTAGGCTGGGCCCAGGCCTAAGCTATAGCCCTTATCATAAGTACAAAGCCTGGCCGGCCCATGATCACCCCTACATTTAACCTAACCCAAGAGGGGTGGGGTGAATTGGGTTCTAAAGGATTTTTCCCTAACTAATGCCTTGTAAAACTTTGGATGCAGACTTATGGGTACCTACAAAACCTTATCATAGTTGGATTTTGAATACCAACAACACCTTATACAATTGGACTTACAAGTGCCAACAAGACCTGAACGATTAAGCTTCCAGGTGTCAACTAAACTTGAATAGTTGGGTTTACGGGTGCCAAGCAAGCCTTTGATGGTGTTCACACTTGAATACACTAATAAAACAAGATGATAAACAATAAAGCACAAATAATATAAATGTCTCTTAATAGGCTAATTAAAATGATACAAACAAAAGATATTCAAATGCAAGAGCATGCACAAACGCTATAGGCTTAGTCACTTGAAAAGGTTTAGAAAATTTTAATTAGAAACAAATAAGCCCAAAGGCCATATAAGCTTTTTTTTTCACTCATATAAACTGATTAAAAGCATAGACATCTCTTCTTTTCTCAAGCAATATTCTTGCTTAAAATGCTCTTACAATTTTTACAAATCAAGCTCTTGATATTTTTAGTTTACCAGTGATTTATAATGGTTGAGAGCATATGACCATTATAAATCCATTGGGAATGGATTAAACAATACTTGAAAATGTTCATAGCAACTTCTCAACAAATATTGAAGGCTTACCAAGAGAAAAGAGCCGTTATCTTTTAAATAGTCAAAATTTTTGTCAAGTAGTTGACTACTACATGTAAAAAGGAATCACTTTTCTTTAGTAGTCAATTATTTCCCCCTGATAGTTGATTAATAGCAAATGCCTAATCTCGGCTATGAGACATAGTCCTCTATCAAGTAGTGTTAGAGTGGCACTAGCCTTGGCTATCACAAATAATCAACTTACTCATACCCACTTGGATGGTAGACTACTAGATGGCACCCATCTCTGCTATTATGGATAGTTGTTTACTACTTCATGATAGTCAACTCTATTGACAATTCTCAACTTAAAAAGAAAAAAACTTAAAGTTTATGATTCTAAAGGTCTGGAGATCACTTCCTTAGGATTCCAAACTTAGACTTTTCACTTTTAAGTCTATGAAGGAGTCCAAGAATGCCTAAGAACCATAAATAGTTCTAGCCATTGGTCTCTAAGGTTGGATCAACCGAGTTAGGTTAGTGATAATCTCATAGTGTACATTTTTACAAATGATTACACCAGTAACTAATGAATGAGACACAATATAAGACACTAGAACTTTATGCTTCCTCCTTTTAGTTCTTTGTTGCATTCATCTTCCTTATAGCATTTATCTTCTATATGCATTTCATCCCAAGTTGATTGTTAATGGTATTGTCAATCATTTTAACTCAATAGGAATTATTTGGTAGAGCTGTACACTTAAAATCATTCCATTAGTACTCTTAAGGACTTTGTTATTAATTATCAAAACACATAGGGTCAACACAAGGCTTCACGGGGGTCTAGATAAGTTTATTGTGGGGGAGAGAAGTCCTTAAGCAGAGATGTATTTGGAGGATTGGGAGTGATGAGAAGATGGATGCATGGAATGATAGGTGGATCCCTTCCAACTAGAACCACACAACCAATTTGTAAAGACCTCCACATTACCCAAACCATAAAGTCAAAGATTCGTTCTTGAGTGGGAATAGAGGTCGGGATTAGGAGTCAATTAGGACTTGGTTTGGAGAAGAGGTGAGACAGGCCATTAGAAGTATTCCTGTCAACCAAGAAAGACATGAAGATAAGCTCCTCTAGATCAATCATTCATATGGAGAAGTAATAGTTACAATGGCTTACCATTTAGCAAAGGTAATGGGGAGGATGAAACTCATCTTCCCAACTTAATGACTCCTACAATCCCTACTACTTGTATTAAAGGGTATATGGAAGTTTTAAGTGCATCCTAAGATTCAAAATCCCCTATGGAGAATGTCATAGAGGTTTGGTTAAAAGTGAGCTTAAGAGAAGGAAGATCATTGAAGATGATTTGTGCCCAAGATGTGGTAAAGAAGTAGAAACTGTTGATCACATGTTTATTCCTTATAATTTTAGCTAGGGGTGTCCACGGTTCGGTTAACCGAACCATGGCCTTTTTTGTAAACTGAACCAGTGGTACCAGTTTTTCCATTTCACCAAATCGAAACTGAACCGGTACCACCGGTTAACTGGTCCGCCGGTTCAGTTCTTCGGTTTTTTGATTTTTTATATTTATAATATATATTATATAAATATATGTATAATATTATATTATAAATATTTTTAAAAAATATAATATATATAAATATATTTATAAATAGATCATTTTAAATATAATATAAGTATATATTTATATATATATAATGAATATATATTTATATATAATACATAGAAAATATGTGACATATATTAAAAATATATATAAAATATACATATAAATATAAATATACATACCAGTCGGTTCGGTTAACCGTCAATTTTTTTGTAGGTTAACCGAAAATCGAATTGGTCCTTCGGTTTTTCAAAAAATTCTGAACCAATCGATTCAGTTAACCGCATTTTGCAGTTTTTAGGTGGAACACTAGCTCAACAGCACTGATTGTGAGGATGTAAGCCAGTTTTTAGTCTCATCACTTTATTCTATTGTCACCTTTGGTCCTCGAGGAATAAGTTATTAGTATTTGAAGGGGATCTACTATTATGATGGAGATAGATTCCCACCATGTTTCTTTAATAGGATCGAATTCATATTTGATCTAATTATAAAACTAAATTTGAATAATCCTTAATCAGATCAAATTCATAAAATTATATTATTTGCAGTTGTACAATCCAATCATAAATAGATCGAATTTGGATTAATATATAGAGAAGTACGAACAGGCCCAATGCAGATTTCTGATTTCCACAACAAAACTATAAACATTCAAAAGGTCAAAAACCCATACTCTATGCACCCATACCCGCCCGTGAATTGGCATCAATTCCGAGCTAGCACCTACCCAAAATGTACTTTGAGCCTACAAATTCTGACCCTAGGCTGAACTGTCATTCTCCCATTAATATATACCAAGGTTTTAAAAACCAATCCGGAAACGAATACTTTGGCCACCGGTTTCTAGGTCAATGGTTCGACCGTCTAGGTCAAATGGTTTAAATGTTTTAATAGTATATCTCATTCTACCTTTGGATTGAAATATTAGGGTAAGATGGATATAAATATTATGAGAAGGGGGATGAGAATGAAAGTGAGGAGAGGGCTTTGTCGGCTCAAAGAAGGAAAAAAAAGAAGGTTGAAAGAAAGAAAGAGAATGGAAGAAGTAGAAAAATGAGGAAAAGGCAGAGGTGCAGGTGACTTGTAGTAGTGATGGTGATGATGACCTGTAGTAGCAATGGTATGACGATGATGGTGACCTATAGCGGCAATAGATCTCTCTCTCACAGATCTATCATCTCATCTCTAAGATCTCTTAGATCTCTCTCTCTCTCTCTCTTTGATCTCAGATTTGAGATTGATCTCATTTCCCTCTATTTTTTTCTATTTTTTTGTTATTTTATGTTTTTTAAAAATTTTAAATAAGGTATATTAAACCACAAACCATTGTCCAGGTCAAACGATACAACGGTCAGACTGTCTAGGTCAATGGTTTATTGACCAATTCAACAATTTTTAGTAAATTAATGGTTGAGCACTAAAACGGAACTGATAACTTGACCAGTTTCCGGGCTGAATGGTCCAACCGTCCAGATCATCCGTGGTTTTAAAACCATGATATATTACACAACCCTTTTGTGTTAAGTAAGACAAAGAACCGTTTGAACTCCAAATACGAGTAATACACTAATACTGACAGAAAAAAAAATGCTGAGGGTCTTGGTCAAACTAAAGTTTGATTTAAATGTTTGATATGTATCGGCCGATACGGATAAATACTGTTGGCGTATTGCGCTTTCTACACTCCAAACTCCCAAGTCCAAACTCTCACTATCCATTCATGGGCCTGGATGAATGGGTTTGGAATTCGAGGTTATAAACTTAAAATGGGCTTTCTAGATTGGGCCTGGGCCTGACCTTGCATTTCTAATACATGCATCCCGAGTTACCCGAACCCGACCCGTCTCTAAAACGGGGCTATTGGAAATCTTATCCAGGCCTGTACAGCTTCAAAAGAGACGAATCTCTCCGTCATGATCTCTCTGCCTCACTCTCTCTCATGGAGTTTCTTTCACTTACTGGTTGCCTTTCATCTCTCCCACCAATCCAAAACCATCCAAAATCTCACAAAACCATCTCTGTACTTCGAAGAGGTCCCCTCCAAAGCTACCTTCCCATCTCCAAAACCACCTCTGAGGCCTCCCTTTCCCATCAAAACTGCTTTCCTTCTATTCAAAATACAGACATTTTGCATTCCCCCACCATCCCTGAACTCAAATCATGCCTCCCTCATTCTTCCTTTCCTGAAGACCATCTTTTAATCAGACAGACGGAGCTTGGTGTGGAAATTATGATTACCCATCTTCTAAATCGCCTAGATAATCGCTGTTCAGTCCACAAAGCAGTTTCTTTCTTGCAAAATTCTCTGAAACTTCAACTGCCCTTCGCTTTCATGGTAGTTTCTGCTCCTTTCCCCTGCATTGCCACTGAAACCAGTATTTCCGCTGAGCAGGTGTCGAATAAGATCAACCTGGAATCAGTTCTAATTTCAATTGACGATTTCTTCAACCGAAACCCATTTTTTGTGGCCGGGGTTACATTCATTTGGCTTGTTGTAATCCCTCTAGCCCAAGAATATCTAAGGAAATTCAAATTTATTTCTGCCATTAATGCCTTTCGGAAGCTCCGAGACGACCCAAGTTCACAGCTCTTGGATATTAGGGAGAAACAGAGTCTGCTAAATTTGGGTTCTCCTAATTTAAATATTTTGAACAAGAGAGTTGTCCAGGTCCAGTTCTCTGAAGGAGAGGAAAAGGTTTTTGTGAGGAAGTTATTGGAAAATTTCAAAGATGCAGGAAATACTACCGTCTGTATTATTGACGAGTAAGTACTGCAACTTCAAATGTTCTCCCCTGATTAAATATACATAATCCAGTGACTTTTAAGCTGCACTGACAAGCTTGTTCTTTCATCTGTTTCTTGGTTCAAAAGCAAGTGGAAAGATTTTTAAAAAAGTAGGGATTTCTTCTGAAAGTTTTGCATTTTGGATCTTCCCTAAGTGGTAAAATTACAAATTTGGTGGCTTAGATATTTATATGTTTTAACGTAGAAATTCTTAGATAGTTGGTGTGCTGAGGCTAGTACTTTACTCTTTCAAATAGAAAAGAGTTTGATGATTTTGTAATCCATTTGAATTATAATCTGATGCATATACCAACAACGGCATGCACAATTATTCTCAATAGCGTGCTTGATTTGGTAGCTTTCCTTCATAAATAATTTTGCTGTATATATATATACAGAATTTGGTCATCTCAAGCCTGTAAATTGTCAATTAATATCTGAACTTGATACCGTTGATAAACTAAAACTAAATGTCAATTATTCTCAATTACATGTTTGATTTAGTAGCTTTCCTTCACAAAAGGTGCTTAGGGAACTTAAGTATTTGTTGATTGATCATGGTAAGGAGAATTTATATCAGTTATCAAAAATAAAAGATTGCAACTAGGTGCACAATTGAGGTCGGGCAGATGTTAGAAGTTGATTAGTTACATGGTGGGGTGCCATGGCATATACGTGCCAATATATAGGGGTGGCCTGCCATTTGTGGGTCCTTAGGAGATCACATTGGCCAAAATTTTACTTGGTGGTCCTAAAGGTTCAAGATACTCTTATTTTACAACTGATGTGGTAAGACACCTTCAAGTATAAAACTCGGAGAATAAGCTTATATTTTACAGTGTGTTAATTTCTCTTTTTATTAACACTATAGTAAAGTAGTAAACTAAATGGGTCATGGTAAGGAATATCTGATCTTATCTGATATAAGGAAGCATTATTTTCATATCGTTTCTCTGAGTAGTTCCTAAGGATCTTGTCTTCTTGTTTTCTAATGCCCTTTCTCCTGACTATATGATTCTCTTCTCTCAAGGCTTCTCAATGCTTGGTCAGATAAGTTTTTTCTTTTTCTTTTCAATGTTATTGTGGTATTTTGGATAAAATAGAAGAAATTTGATTGTTCAATGCCTTCACTTTTGCTGTGTAAGGTAGTTTTGATGGTAATTCCATGAAAGTGGCTGAACTGTTGGTCAAGAATGGTTTCAAAGAGGCTTATGCAATAAAGGGTGGGATCAAAGGCAAGAATGGGTGGCAGGTAATTTTATCTTATTTTTATTTAGTACCATAATCACAGATTCTATTGCAGAGATAGTTGGGTTTTATTGACATTACTGAATGATCCTACCCATATTATATTACATTCTGAGGATAATCAGCTTACTTGGTACTGAATTCTTATAAATTTTCTTGTTTTACATGTGTTTTGGTGGTCAGTCTGTAATAACACCACAAATTGGATTTTTAGAATTACTCAATGGATGATTTTTGGGCAAGAACCTAGGAGTCCCAATTCATTGATGGATCCTGGGAACAGGTCAAGTGTAACCCAATTACACCTTTTCAGTTCCAACTTAAAGGGTGATATTGTTGGTTTTCTTAAATGAAGTTACAGCAAGAGAGGAGAAAAGAATGCTAGGCAAACCTTAAACCTTCAGAATGATAATGACTATTGGGAATTTTCTTTTCTCTACAAGGTTTACTTCAACCAACTTCTTCAAATTAGTGAAATACTTTTCAGTTACATTTCCCTATGAGTGCAACTCAGGTATCTGAGTTGAAGATTTTACAGAGTATCAGGGCCCAGGCCTATTCAAAGTTTAGAAAAAAAGGGTAAATGAACTTCAAACTTAAAAATAGGAATGGCATTTTATGGTACTTACACAGGATTTACTTCAGCCCAGCCTCTTCAAATAGAGAATTAGAGATTAATACAATAATACAATATTGCTACCTTTAAACAAAAAAGGGTAAACTGAGATGACACTATATGGCCCATTTCTTACTGACATTGTCAACATTTAGCCAATTAGCAATAAATAGTTGTTTTACTAACAAAACAAGAAATCTAGGAAACAAATAAATAAACTACCAAACTTTGATGTCAATGTAGCTAGACTTGTTTCCACCTAAATTTTCCGGAGAAACAATGGGAATCAAATTTAACTTGTCATGCCTTTTGACAGTGGACCATTTCAAAACCCTTACAAATTAAATGAAATAAAAACAAAGAGCCACTAGTTCAATTAATTTTAACAGCCATAATGTCGAGTGAATTTTCTTTTAAGGTTGTAATTTCTTCCTTTTAGAGTCTTGCAATGAGCAGATACTTGGGATCTGAAAGTTGATTTTATTTCTTCCAAAAAAATATTTTATTATATTAAATGGTAGATGAAATTAATACATTTGGTTGACAAGACTAACCCAAGAGCACCCAAAATTACATGGAAGCCCAAAACAGTTGGTGCCTCAAAACCCCTCGCTTAGCAAGGGAATTAGCCATCCCATTTGCAGTCCTCACCCACTTGAATTCAGCATATATGTCCTTTGCAATACTTTCCACTTCCCTTACAGCCATTATCCTGAATATAAAGCTATTAGTTCAGCTTTCAAAGAGTTTCCCATTCCAATAGGCTCTGAATATAAAGCCATTATCCTGCTTTCAGAATTCCTGAATATACCTCCTATTCCTGCCACACCCTGGATTTCCAAATGAGTTTCCATCAAAGTTCAGTTTTACTTTGTTGCCTTTTGGAGGTTTCCAATCCACCCTTATCCTGTCTTTTTCTCTAGAAGATTGTGCAACCATGGATCAAGCTCTTATTATATCATTTACAGAGAAGATCTAAAAACTTTCCAAGGTTTTTACCCAATTTGCAACCTTTATCTTTATGTTTCCTATTACCTTCCCCAATGATCTACTCTTTCCATTGAAAATTCTTCCACTTCTCTCTTCCCAAACAACCCAAACTACTGCTATCTTTGCAGCTGTCCACAATATCTTCCCTCTTTTCTTTGGTTTCCTCAAGAAGTTTGGATTGAAAATACAAATCACATCTCAAGGGGGATCCCACCTGCAACCAAAAAGAGAACAGAAATATCAAATTACTCCCAAATGCAATGCACAAAAGAACAAGAGATCAATAGATGGGAAAGTGTTTCACCACTAAGCCCTGCATAAGAAGCACATATGAAGAGTATATGAATGTTATATGGAAGTATGTGAAAGAATAAAAGAAAAATTGTATGGTTTTCTTGTAGACAATACAGAACACATTGTTTTACACTGATACAGTTCTAATTGATCACGAAGTTTGAAAATTTCACCAGTATCTAGATCACTTATTTGATTTAATTGATGATTGATCCTACCATTTGAACCTGACTAAGTGTTGCATGGACATGGACAGAGGAGTTATAATCCCACAGTTGTCCAAGAGTCTGACTTGGAAAGATGAGAAAACGTGGACTCCTGGAAGTCTGTGGAAAAGTATATACTATTCAAATAATTAATATTTTTGAATTCTAACATTGTATACCTACAAAAAATGTTGTCTTTGTTACTTAGTGATGTTTGATACAAAAAATGAATTCATTGTTGTTGATTAGCTGTTCATTTATGTTAAATAAACCAGGAGATAAAAAGGAAATGTTATGTTGAAGTGCCCTCAAGAATACTTGGAGTTTTGAACTTGGACGTGTGTTCAACATGACGTGCTCCATTTAGGAGAGTGCATGCAACACTGCCTGACTGATCTAACAGGACAAACTATTCTTCAATATCATCAATCAGTAATAGAATTAACAGTGTTTTACAAATGAGCTTTCTAAATTTGGAAATCTGGACTGTTATTTGACTAGCCATGTCCAGGTGTGGAGTATGAGTTGGATTTTCTAAAACTTCCTTGACTACAATGAAAGAGATGAGAGAGAAGCAAAGTTTTTTTTTTTTTTTTCTGATGAGTAGAATCATAGGTATTTTCTCACTTTGCAGGAAATACAGGAGACCCTTCTCCCACTATCCGTGCATGTTCTTCCAAATAAGGTGGGTAAAACATCACAAAAGCTTGAGATAAAGGGAAGAGTAAACAGACAAACTGAAGAGAAGAGTCAGGTTCCATCTTTTACCAGTGCCTCAGAGGGAAGTGAAAGGACAAAAGTTGAACGCACCAAGTCAAAAGAACTCAATTCACAAGCAAACCATGGTTCAAACAGAGCATTATCACCATACCCTAATGTATGATTTTCTCAACTTTTCTGATCTCCATGTTTATCTTGTATTACATTATATTATATATATCAGCATCCATGTACATCTATCCATGTATATGATACAAGTAAATAAATTCACTAATTCATGCAAATATGCTTGCAAGAATGAGACCTTACATGCATTTAAATAGGTTAAGATTGATTTAGTTATGCTTTTAACCAATTGATGGTACAGAGGTACTTCGTGCCGTCTTTGTTTATGCATTTGTGCTTGTCTGTAATCATGCAAACAAAACAAGTATACAGATTCTGTATATGGCATGCACAAACAGGTGAGAGAACTGAGAAGAAATAAATATAAGAAGAGAATAATAGAAGAGAACCCCCCACCAGACTTGCAAGGTCTTTTTTCCCCTTCTTTTTCAGGTGGCGGATAAAAAGGGGAAGGACAATGTGGAGAGGACTAAGGGCTGCAGTATGTTGGACACTTTGGGAAGAAAGAAATTCCAGGATATTCTCAGA